TGTTTTTAAAATTTCTTTAAGTCGGTTTTCGTCTTTCTCTGGCTTCTCCTTGAGTGGCTTAATAATCAACCCTCAGAGTTCTTTATCAGCAATTCAGAGTTTTGTTTTGCTTTGGGTCTATTGTTGGGGAGCTAGAATGATTTTTGAAGGTGTTATAGAACCCTGTTTTGTCATAGTATCAGAATTACTTTTCTCGTTCCTTTTGGTAGACTATTTCTTCAAATTGTTCTTGAATTTATTTTTGGTTGAAGTTTTTAAAATTTCTTTTTTCCCTTTTAAGGATTAGACTTTAACATTTATTTCATCCTAATTTGATTCTTGGTGATTGTAGGGGTGAAGACTCCATATGAGTTCCTTGGTTATAGAGAGTGTGCGTTGGCTCTCCTGATGCTGGTTGTAGTAGTTATGCACTTTGTGCATGGACAAGTTCACTGTCTCCTATGAAGTTGGAATGGTAGGGATCTCTTGAAGCTTATCTCATTCTCTTGTGATCCATATTTATTTGTTTAACTTTTCCCCAGTATTTTATTTACTGAGTTGATGATTCAGGCTTCAGGCCAACAGGGGAGAGATTCTTGGGTAGGCACTAGCTATAGTTAAGAAAGGTGAATAGGTGTAATCCCAATGCTCAGGCCCTAGCCTTGATGAAGATGGCTGAGGGAGCTCTCAATTCGATGTCCTGCGGCTTTATCAGGGTGAGGAGTAGGAACTGCCTCAGCTCACCTCTTAAGCCAGCAAGAAAGCTATTTACCTCAAAGTCTCACTCTGTCCCAGTGTTTCAGCTATTCATATCAGTCAGGCATCTCTTTTCATCTCTAGGAATGTTGATGTTTCAAGTAGGGAGGAATTGTGACCCTGCCTCTTGTGCAGGCTTGAATCTGGTGGGGGTTGGAGGGATGGGGGGGTGCTTCTTCTGTGGGGCTATGATCACCGTGGATTGTTCCAGCAAGGCTGTCTATAGCTGCCTCCATCCTGCATCCCTGTGGAGGAAGCTTCAGCTGTGTCTGCAGTGGAGCACCAGAGGGAACAAGGTTCCCTTCTCCAAGGCCCTTCATAATCACAGAGGCTACCTGCCTGTTGGGGTATAGGTACAAACCTTCCCTACTGTACCTATACTGCAATTGTATCTCTGCTGTGAGAAACTTACCACCAGCAGAAAGATCTGGAACTCATGGCCTGCTGTTCAGATTCTTTTGTCCCACGGGTGATCCCTTGATGTGGTGCTCTTCCCCTTCCCCTAGGAATGAGGCTTTCTGAGAGTCAGACTGAAGTGATTGTTTTTCCTCTTCTGGGTCTAGCCACCCAGCGAGGCTCTGGGCTGGTGCTGGGGAATGTCTGCAAAGAGTCTTGTGATGTGATCTGTCTTCAGGTTTCCCAGCATGAATACCAAGCTCTGTTCTGATGGAGGTGGCAGGGGAGTGATGTAGACTCTGAGATTTCCTAGCCGTAGATAGGCTCAGTGGGCTGGCTTTCTTGAATGCTGGTTATGCTAGTAGTGAAGCTGTCATGTGGACAGACTCAGGACCTCTGGTTAGCCAGCGTTGCAGGGAGTGGTATTAGCTGTTGTTTTCTCCTTCTTGGAAGCAGTGTTATTCTGTCAAGAGTTGTTGTAATGGGCTGAGTTGGTTGGCTCCCAGCCAGGAGGTGGCACTTGCAAGAGAGCACCAGCAGTGGCAGTAGTAGTGACATTTGAACTTGCCCTAAGTTGTCTAGGGGAAGTATTCTGGTTTCCCAGGCAAGGGGTAGGCCCATAAAGCTCTCAAGAGTTTATGTCTTTTGTGTTAAGCTACAGGGCAGGTAGAGAAATACCATCAGGTAGGGGCAGGGTTAGGCAGGTCTGAGTTCAGATTCTCCCTGGGCAAGGCCTGCCACAGCCCCTATGGGGGATGGGAGGGGTGGTTCTCAGGCCAATAGGGTTACGTTCTAGAGGGGAGTATGGCTGTCTCTGCTGTGCAGTAGAGTTTGCAAGGGGAATGGGGATTAGCTCATTGTGAAAGTCCTCACCTAGCTCCCACAGAGTTGGTGAGGCCAGTCTTGCTCTCATGATGCCCAACTAACAGCACTGAGTTTAGATCCAGGCAGATGGTATGCAGAACTCAGACCTGCCCTGGGCCATGAGCTTTGCTGCTGAGAAAGCAAGCATGTTTCTGGTCCCACCCCTCCCCATCTGCTCGCAATGCTGGGTGTCCAGCTTCTGCCCTCGTATCTGCAGTAGTTTCCATTTATGCCCCCATCCCCGGATTCCATTCAAGGGTATTCATGCCCACTTGAAATTATCACAAAACTCGGTTGGTAGCTTTTTTCACCCTGTGACCCCTTCCTAAGTTTGCTGGCTGCCATCCCTGAGAGCCCCTGTCAGATAAAGTCAGGGATGGCTTTCCTGGGCTTGAGCTGGAAACTGAGGGTGCCTCCAAGGCTCTTCCTGCTGCTGCTTCTAATTTTATATTTTGTGCTGCTCCCTAAGTCCATTCCAGCTCTAGGTAAGGTTAAAGCCTCCTATGATTTGGATTTTCAGATTCCCCAGTGGGAATGTGTGTTCAGAGGCAGGCTTTCCCTTTTCAGTTTTTTTTTTTTTTTTTTTGAGGCGGAGTTTCGCCCTTGTTACCCAGGCTGGAGTACAATGGTGCGATCTTGGCTCACCGCAACCTCCGCCTCCTGGCTTCAGGCAATTCTCCTGCTTCAGCCTCCCGAGTAGCTGGGATTACAGGCACACGCCACCATGCCCAGCTAATTTTTTGTATTTTTAGTAGAGACAGGGTTTCACCTTGTTGACCAGGATGGTCTCGATCTCTTGACCTCATGATCCGCCTGCCTTGGCCTCCCAAAGTGCTGGGATTACAGGCGTGAGCCACGGCGCCCGGCCACCTTTTCAGTTTTTTGCCTGTCTCACAGAGTTTGCCAGGTGTGCTGCTGCTTTCATAGGATCTGCGAATTCTTTCAGTTTCCTGGTAACTTCCTGCAGTGGTTCTTAGAATAAAAGTTCACATTGTTAATTGCCACACACTGTTCTATCCTTCCAAGTGGGAGAGGCACACTAGCACTGCCTCTTATCTGCCATCTTGGAACAAACAAACAAACCAACACATATTTAAAAGGATGTAAATTTATTGTTAAGTGTTGACTCATGGAGGTCCCATATGGCAGCCTGGTTCTTCCTGAGTCCTTAAGTCTTCCATTATTAAAAACTCTGTACTTTATTACTCATCATGGAGTAGATAAAAAACTATTTCTAGGAAGTCCTATATCCTTAATAAAAGAATCTCATGTATCTCTTGTTCTTATAAGCTTTGCTGTAACTAAATACTGCAAAGCTTTAATCCATTATACTGAAGTGTGTTTTCACTACTTTGGTGAAAAGTCTTTTGTGATTCGCTGACTGAATACAATCAACTTTCACAATCTAGAACTCAGTAATTGAGTCTTCAGGAAATAACATCCCATCTGAGAAAAAAATGCTCTTGTACCCCATTAGAAGAGATTATATCAGGTTCTTCTCTTACCACCCATAGTAAGACTTTAGGGCCTCAAGTCCTGGGTCCATACCTTGCAACTCAAGAGGGCCCCTTCAAACTCTTGGAACTATGCATCGATTGGAGACCTTAAGGTAAAGCTAACCAGGGAAGTTTCTCCCCAGAAGCAGATGGCATCCTAGACACGGACAGCTTTCTTGATCACGGATCAAGACTTCTCTGCTATCATGAATATCTTATCCTTTTTTCTGTTTTCCCTATTTCCTGCTGGGAGATCAATGGGACCATAATTTACAGATGGCTTTAGCTAAGGCTCATGGTCTAGCAAGAAAAATCAGAACAACTGTTGGGTTTCTGGGCTGATGCAAAAAACGAAACAAAACAAAACACCTTAGGAAACAATTTTACTAATGCCAGTGCCTCTCTGTGTTCCAATGAAAGCCACCCTAAAACTCAAAAGCAGAGTGGAAAGCTATCTTTGACTTTGTAGATATCACTTGCTGCTTGCTTTCCTACACTTACTGAAGGCAGTAACCTAACTTTTCCAATTAATAACCTACCAGCTACCAAATACAGAAAAGCTGAGTGATTTTTGTGACAGGTACATTATGCTTCTAGGCATCTCATACTCAAGACCAGGGGATTATCTATGTGGGTACAAGTAACTGCTTGTATAATGTCACTGAATTAAATCCAGTAATGTCATTTTTTACTGACTGTGGTTATACACCCTTACAGCATGTTATAAAGGGGCCACAAACAAAAAAGTAAGTTCACACTGAACCTTGTTCAGGAGCAGTGCTGACCGATTTCACTGATTTATACTTAACTGCCACTAGGTGGCCCTCTTTTCCCGCTTCCAAGGGCCTACACTGGGTCCACGTGGCCTCAGTAGAGCCTCAGAATTCTTGCTGTGAAGCTTGATGAGCCCAGCACTGGTTCTAGCTACGGTTTGTTCCTTTCGGGGTGGAGTGGATGGATGGTTCTTGGAAATGTACGACTTTCCCGTGAGTGCAGTGGGAGGCTGTACTGGAGAATCTAGCTACCCCGACTGCCTAAAGAGAGCCTACCATAATTTTTCACTGAAATCTTTAGGATAAATGTAATTCTGTCTTGGGTTTCTGTAATAATATCTTTGAAGAAATAAGGATTTAAAAAATTTTATTTCTTTAATATTCTCAATAGTCCTGCAACATGGGAAAAATATTATTTTTACTACTACTACTATTATTATTGCAGTTGAGAGGGCTGAAATCTTGCAGGGTAATGTAAAGCAAGTTTATTAGTCTCTAAAGCCCCAGTTTCCTGCTCTGTAAAATGGAAGGGTCCCGATCTCTTTCCTACTGCTCTGTGAGTACTTAAGGGGATGGAATTTGGGAGACGCCCAGCACCTAGCACACTATTGGCACCGAGTGTTAAAGCCACCGAGAGGCCGAGGCGTCAACCCTCCGTTTCCCTCCCGGTGCCCCTTCCAGCGCCAGGTGGGGTCGATTTGGCAGGGCTGGAGCGCCAGGCGCGTGCAGAGCCCGGCGGACCCGCCCCTCGGGCCCGGGCCGCGCGGGAGGCGGAGCTCGCACTCAGGAGCCGCCTCCCGGGCAGCGGAGGCGGTCCCCGAGTAGCTTTCCGCGGCCTCCCCTGTCTCCGCGCAGAGCTCGCCGGCCGCGGCCGCCTCTGGGGTGAGTACACGCGGCTCTGGCTCCGCTGGCGCCAGAGATGTGCAGTTCCCCGGACACGGGCGCCGTGCGAGGGTAGCCGGGCGGCGGCCGGGGTCGGTCCCGGGGCTGGGGCGGGGCGGCCCTGGAGATGGCGCGGCGGCCTCCGTGGGGCAGCCCCGCCTCAGCCGAAGCGGTGGGCCCGGCCGGGGGCCTGAGGAGGCCGAGCCTGGCGGGAGGTGCCGGCTCAGGTGCTGGCGTCCCGCCGCGGCGCCACCTCTGCTGTGGGCCCGGGGAGCCAGGTGAGGTGCCTCCAGGTAGGAAAAGATCCAGGGCTCACCTTCACGCCCCGGGTCACGATTCCGGGGTCGCCCCCAGCACCTCTCCGCCAGGTGCATCAACCTGAAAAAGCCCCTTCTTCCTGGAAACCCTCTTTCTCCAGCGTCTCTGCGGGGAAACTGATCAGCTGACCCCAGCACTAGGCCTGCGAGGGGCCGGCGACCTTTGACCTTTCTCCGAAGGGGCTGGTCACCTAGGTTATAAATGACTTCGGAGACTGCCATCCGGTGTCTGTTGATCTGTATCCCTTATGTTCTGTCTTCCCTTAGATAAGGGCTGTTAACTCTTTATTTGAGAAAGGGAAGTCCAGAGGGCTCTGGACCCAGAAGAGGCCTATGGGTTGGTAGCCTTAGGAGAGCAGTTAACCACAGAGGGTGGGCGTGTACCCTGTTACAAAGTGTTCCGTAGTGGGTGAGCGATGGGGACGTGGAGGTGGTGAGGGCACTGGTAGACCTTCCCAGCTGTTTGGTGATGAAAAGGAGGAATAATAAGATGGTAATTTGAGTGTGGAGGAGAGTTATGTGGTTTTTTTAAAATTAATTTTTAAAGAAAGGAAACGAACACCTTGAAGATGCAAGAAAATCAAGGAGTCTCAGATCAGGATGAATAGGATTCAGGGTCCGGATTGAGAAATCGAATTCAGAAGAGGGCGCGGAGGGCTATCCGGAGACTCGGGCAGGGGTGCTGGAAGGTGTCTCTTGCGGGAGGAGATAATGGATTGGTTATAGCTCGGAAGTTTTTGTTGTTTTGTCTTCTAGAGCAGGTTTGTTCTTTATGGAAACTGTAAACCCCCTGAAATTGTAAAAACTTCCGAGTACCTAGATCTTTGATTAGATTAACAACATCCGTTGTGAAGAAGTACTGACTTGAATTGAACTGTTTGACTTTGTAATCTAAGAGGAAATGGATAGGGCAATAAAATCAGCTCTGTGGTTATAGTTTATATACCTTTTAATAGAATAAGTATTTAGTATCTACTTGAAGCAGAGCTAGTAGTAATGCGTGCCTTTCCCAGAGATGCATGCACATGATCTGGGAACTAACCATCTCTTTGAACATCTTTTATTCAGTGGAAGCATCCGAAACAAGTCAGTGATGGTTTTCTATTCGTTGTTTTAAGCCATCAGTGAACAGCAGTGGTCTCTCAAACCTGGCTGGATGTCTCAGAGTTACCTAGGCTCCTGTTCAAAATACGGATTTTTTTTTTTTTTGAGAGTCTAGCTCTGTCGCCCAGGTTGTAGTGCAGTGGTACAATCTTGACTCACTGCAACCTATGCCTCCCAGGTTCAAGCAATTTTCCTGCCTCAGCCTCCTGAGTAGCTGGGACTACAGGCCCACCACTCCTGGCTAATTTTCGTATTTTTAATAGAGATGGGGTTTCACCATGTTGGCCAGGCTGGTCTGGAACTCCTGACCCCAAGTGATCCATTCTCTTTGGCCTCCCAGAGTGCTGGGATTACAGGTGTGAGTGACAGGCCCAGGCAAAAATATTGATTTCCTGACCCCACCTCAGCCTTTTGAAATAAAAATCTCTGGGTCCAGACCCAGATTTGAAAGCCTGGGAATAGGCATTTCAAACAGACCACAGGGTTCTCTGGCACTGAAGAATTGCCAACAGCCTCTGGTTTTTCTTTGAGATTGGGGCTTGTTGGGCCTACTTAGAATAGGTTTTCTTAAAGGTTATATGAATGAATTGTCAAACTTTATGTAACTAAAAGTTGTGATACCTGTCTGTGATGTTATCTTTAAATTTTAATATACAGTTGTCTCCCTTACTTACGGGGCATGTGCTACAAGACCAAAAGTGGATGCCTGAAACCATGGATGGTGCCAAACCCTATATATGCCGTTTTTTTTCTACATATATATCTATAATATTTATAAATTAGGCACAGTAAGAGATGAAAATGTCTAATAATAGAACAGCTACTACAATATGCTGTGATAAAAGTTATGTGAATGTCATCTCTTTCTCAAAATATCTTATTGTGGTTAACTGAAACCGCAGAAAGTGAAACCAAGGACTACTGTATTTTAAAGGAAAACTATGTAGTTATTTTGTCAGAAAACAACATTGTTTCTGATGATGAAAACTCCATTTTAGAAAAATTAGAAGATACAAAAGAAATAAAAGGTTTTCCCTAATTCTATAATTAAGAGATGACCACCAGTTTCTCTGTCATTTTGTATATGAAAGGCACACACACATATATTTCATAATTGGTGTTATATGTTATACGCTCTTTTTTGTTTTTTTGAGACATGGTCTCGCTCTAATGCCTAGACTGGAGTGCGGTGGCACAATCTCGGCTCACTGCAGCCTCCGCCTCCCAGGTTCAGGTGATCCTCCTTCCTCAGCCTTCCAAGTAGCTGGGACTACAGGCATGGGCCGCCATGCCCAACTACCATGCCCAACTTTTTGTACTTTTATTAGAGAAGGGGTTTCAACATGCTGGCCAGGCTGGTCTCAAACTCCTGACCTTGAGTGATCTGCCTGCCTTGGCCAACTAAAGTGCTGGGATTACAGGTGTGAGCCATCATGCCCAGCCTATATTTTATATACATTTTTGTATCTTTTTTCTACTTAACTATTGCACTTTTCCGTGTAGGTTTTTTAAGCACCATTTTAATGAAACTGTATGTCCCATTATGTTGATGTATTGTAATTAATTAAACATTTGTACGCTTTGATTTTTGGTTATTTTAGCAACATTTGTTTGAATGTCATGGTCTACCTCACTGATTATTTTCTTCCTTCCTTCCTTCCTTCCTTCCTTCCTTCCTTCCTTCCTTCAGGGTCTCGCTCTGCCACCCAGATTGGAGTTCAGTGGTGTAATGTCAGCTCACTGCAACCTCTGCTTCCTGGGTTCAAGCGATTCTCCTGCCTCAGCCTCCCGAGTAGCGCACTGCCATGCCCGACTAATTTTGGTATTTGTAGTAGAGATGGGGTTTCACCATGTTCGCCACCAGGCCGGTCTTGAACTCCTGACCTCAGGTGATCTGCCTGCCTCGGCCTCCCAAAGTGCTGGGATTACAGGCATGAGCCAGCTCACTTGGTATTGATTATTTTCTTAGAATATATTTCTAAATGATGGAATAAAAAACCTTTCAAATGCATTTTTAAAATCTCATGTTCACATATCTTCTTACTGCTTTTCTTCACCAGAGGGAAAATTAACATATCTGAAAGATCTTTATTGCATTCCAGGTTCCTTCTCTTATATCAGTGGCTCTGAAACTTTAATGCAGATAAGAATCATTTGGGGAGCTTGTTAAAATTTCATTTTTCTGAGCCCCAGTAGCTGCTGTTCTGACCTGTTGGCTTTGGAGTGGGGCCCAGGAATCTGCAGTTTTAACACATTCCCTTATGTATTTGATAAAGGCACTCTTGGAACCAGATGTTGAAAAGTACTTTTTAAGTAAATGGCCAAACAGATTCAAAGCATTCAAGTTATTTGTCAAAAGCCATTCATGCATCTGGTAAGAAGAATTTGAACTCAGCTCTTTGTGACTTCAGAGCCCTGTTATATCCATGATCGCAGAGCTTTTTAAACCTTTTTAAGAAGGTTTAGGGTGAGGTGCTTCTAATGACTGCAGAAAGTAAGCTCCTACTGACTCCACAGTTGATTTCTTAGGGAAAGCTGAAAGTAACATATAAGTACACAATGAACTTCTATTGAAACCTCCCATCAGAAATTCTGGTGAATTCTGTATTATGCTTCATAACATATACTACATAAAATAACTTTGGTCGTTTGGGTGTTGCTGGATCCCCGGCTTCAAATGTGGATTTCCACAGCATTTGCCCAGAGGCAGGTACATTGTGTTCCAGTGTGCTGTGGAGCTCATGCAGTAAGTAGCTTCATGAATGCAGGGGTAGGCAGGTATACAGCACTTCCTCCCCAAGCCAAGGAGAAGTATCACTTTTACAAGTAGAGAAGCGGAAGGTAGTGGGCATGACCAAAAGTGCCATTTATTAAAGGTGGGGTCCCTACCCTTAGAAGAGTGTTGGTATTAGTGAAAGGAGCTAGTATCAGGGTGAGCCTTTAACATTTTAAAAATCCTCCTCAGATGGAATTTTGTAGTTATTTAATTTTATTAATCTTTATTTCCCCCCTTTCTTTTTTTATGTCTTGTTCCTTTTAGCAAGAGCCTGGAATTATCATGTATCCTTATGTATTTCAACTAGTATATATCCTAGTCCGTCATTCATTACTAAATTGAGCACCTGATAATGTGTCATGTTGATTTGAGGCACTAGGAACATAAAAACAATGATTCTCTTTTAGAATTAAGTTAATTTACTGTCATTTGTTGACTTGGGTTATATCTAGTCTCTGACTCTTTTATTTTTAGTTAATTTTAGACTTATAGAGAAGTTGTAAAAATGATATAGAGAGTTCACCTAGCTTCCCCTAATAATACCCCTTATATAGCCATAGTACATTGATAAATAATATTAACTAAACTACAAGGTTTATTTTAAGTTCATCAGTTTTCCTACTAATGTCCTTTTGTTTTCTGTTCCCACCGTATTTTATTAAGGATCCTGCATTTTATTTAGTTTTTCTTTCTCCTTAGTCTCCTCCAGTCTGAAATAGTTACTCAGTTTTCCCTTGTTTTTCATGATTTGATTCTTTCAAAGAGTACCAGTTAGGTAGATTGTGGAATGAACTTGTCTGATG